TTGTGCGCTCCACTAATATTGATCAGTTCTGGTGCGCGCGCTTTTGGTATAAGCGCGAAACCTGCGGGAATGACTATAATGCGCAATACAAGCACTATTTAACCGGAGCGAGAGAGACGTGTGTGAGAGAGAAGGGGTCGTCGGAGAGAAGAGAGCGAGAATGCGCGGCTGATGTTATTGCCTGTGCCGCTGGTAACGAAACGGATCGGCTCGGAATCAGAAAGAAGTGAGACTGACCGACCCATCACCGATCCGGGCCGATCGATCGGTGCATCTCTATAAATAAGTAATAAAACCTTATTGTAAGGTGTTATAACACTTTATTATATATATATAGCATATTATATGACATTACATTATATTATAGGCAATTATATTATTTTTTTTTTTTTTAAATGACAAAATTGGTTTTTGCACTGCATTATCTTAATGGTCCTAAAAAGGTTTCTGTCCACTGTGATAAGACGCGCACATGCGGAGATTCCCGCTTTGATGACTAGAGCAGATGTCACGTGTGTGAGAGTTTCACTGACACTTTTTAGCCTGTACTCCGGCAGTGACTTCTGCCTCCACGTCGTGCTTGTTCTTCTTCGCTCTCTTCAGTTTTCCGCTCTTTGACGTCTTCTCCTTCTCCAGCTTTGATGAATCTCTCTGCTTCTGAAAACACATTCGGAGGTGAGATCCGCCAGACGCAAAAAGGAAACGCACCCCATGCTGCATTTTGGTCTTTTTTAACGTACAAGGGCATATCCATTCTGGAAATGCTATGGACAGTATTAATAAAGGACGGTGATACAATTGCATACATAATAAATGAAGTCTGACTCTCTTTTGGAATTGTTTTTTTCCTCCAAAAACATCTACAGAAGTTCATCCGTCTTCCGTGGGATAAAGCAGCTACATTTCGTTTCATCAAACAGCCGATAAAAACATCACAATAATCCACGCCACTGCAGTTAAGATCTTGTGAAGACAAAAGCTGCATGCTTGTAAAAAAATAAGTTAACTCAAATACGAGTCCACAATAACGCTTCCTCCAGTGTTTAAACAGCTCTAAACAAATAAGTGGCTGGATTCTGATGCGAGAGACAACAGGAGATGCACTTTTTCACTGGAGGAAGTGTTATTATGGACTCGTATTTGAGTTAAAAACGTCTGAATGATGGATTGTTTCAGCTTGTGTCTTCTCCAGATGTTAACTGATGGACTGGAGTGCTGTGGATTACTTGTGGATTATTGTGATGTTTTTATCAGCTGTTTGGACTCTTGTTCTGACGGCACCCATCCACTGGTGAGCGAGTTCATCCAAATCTCCAAAGCAGATGGAAAGACATTTCCAAACATCAGCAATTACTGCGTGTTAAACTTTACCATGTCGCTCATGAAAGACCCAAACTGCTGGTGTTTACCGCCGTGCTGGAGGACTCGTCCTCACACAGATCGATGAAGATGTTCTCCTGCTCTCTGTCGGTCTTATCGATGATCCAGCCGCTCTTCTGCGGGCTCGAGCTGCACGCTGCTCTCTGATAGAGGGACGTCAGCGAGCTGTTCATGTGATTTGTATGCTGTTGAAAAAACGAAAGCATTTACCACATCTCACCTAAAGTCAGACCTGATGTTTCTGGATTTTGTAGTCGGACTGTAAAGGCAAACCCAATTACTTCATGTTCGGGAATATTGTCCTCGCTGTCGCTGTCGTACTCTGTGACGTGACCGTCGTCCCTGAAAACCATCAGCACAAAGCAGAGTTAGAAAGCCATGCGTGTAAAGCGGATGTAATAGATGTGACCGCCGTATCTCACCCGTCCTCTTGGTTGCGTCGCGCTCTTTTGGCCAAATGTTGGTTTTCCAGAGCAGAGACACCAGACTCATTGCATATCACCGCGTGCACTGCACACACGTCACAAGGCATTGTCAAGGTAATCGCTTCATCAACAACAAAACAGCATACAAGCGAGCCAGACCTTTCTCCACTTGAATCCTGAACGCCGTCCTGTTCCTCCGGCCGTACTCGATCCTGCTCGGATCACAAGCACATCACAGTCTCAGGTCTGTTAGTCTGAGCGCGTTCACGGTCACAGAGCGGACGGGACTCACCTGAACTGCTGCTGAAGCTCCGAGGCCATCGCAGAGACGTCCACATACGGGTCACTGTGTGCCTTCAGATACTGAAACAGACAGAGACGGACAGTTACGGTATCGACTCCAGACCAATGGAAATCCATCATGTGGTTTTAGCAGCATGTTCAAGTCAAGTCCGTGTTGATCTCTAGATCAGAAACACATGAAGCAGTGACTGCTGCCAGTCCGATGGCATCGAAGACAAAGCAGACAAAAGATTACATTAGAAAAGTTTTAGAGAAAGAAGAACAGCAAAAGAAGCAGGTAAAAAATATAAAACAATTCTTAGCGATCAGATTGAGCTCTAAAACTGTGATACATTTGTGACCCTGGAGCACTAAACCAGTCTTAAGTCGCTGGGGTATATTTGTAGCAATAGCCAACAATACATTGTATGGGTCAAAATTATACATTTTTCTTTTATGCCAAAAATCATTAGGATATTAAGTAAAGATCATGTTCCATGAAGATATTTTGTAAATTTCCTACTGTAAATATATCAAAACTTAATTTTTGATTAGTAATATGCATTGCTAAGAACTTAATTTGAACAACTTTAAAGATGATTTTCTCAATATTTTGATTTTTTTGCACCCTCAGATTCCAGATTTTCAAATAGTTGTATCTCAGCCAAATATTGTCCTATCATAACCATACATCAATGGAAAGCTATCAGATAATGTATAAATCTCAATTTCAGAAACTTGACACTGGTTTTGTGCTCCAGGGTCACATTCATCCTTACATATTTTTATTTATTGCAAATTTTAAATTCCCTCTTTTCTTCAGATTACTTACTTATTAGTTGTTGTGCTTTATAATGTTACTGCTATTTACTCGATGATAATAACAATAAAGCTTTAATTTTACCTGATGGACTCTGTGTTTGAGTCTCGGGTCTATAGTATAAGCACTGCGGTTCTTCATCACGCATTACACACGAAGCCACGACAGAAATCCAGTTTGCATGAATGTGGACTTTAAGTGAAAAAGAAGAGAAAGACTAACAACAAGACTCGCTCTTTAGCATCACGCTGCTGCTGCACACGTGGAAGAACCGAGCAGCCGCGGATGCGCTGCGCTGCGGCCAGCCGCTCATCAGCGCCGCCTGTCGGCCGGAGACTAGCCCCACGCCCTTCACCCTGCAACTGTGTAAACACTCACAGTATTCTTCTTTCTTTTACTGGCAACCGCACTTAACAGTGCATTACTGCCATCATCAGGTAGCTTGGATCAGAAACATTTCCTCTATCTCTTAACATTTTCTAACCCCCCCATTACAAAGAAAAAGAAAAAAATAAATACACTGGCGCTGCGTGTTCAGCTCCTCCAGTTTCCACCCCAATTCCCTTTAAATCCCAATATCCCACTGTATCCTTATTCACTCACAGTATTGCAACAAATGCCTACAGATGTAAAAAAAACAAAAAAACAAGACAAATAATTGCTTAATATTGTATCAAAGTAACATCACTGTACAGAAAATGTTTAACACTGTATTACAGTTATTTATATTTACATGCTTACATTACTGCAGTGCAAATGTTCAAAGTTACTTATATACATGTTTACATTATTTATATTTGAACACAAATAAATCCAAATTCATCAATCCCCAACCAATGTTATCTCATCTTTATTCTTTCCCACATGCTTTCACTAAGGGGCCATTCTGCTCATTTACAAGGAGGCAAGCAACTGTGTCAACGCGGTAACAGGGTTGACAGTCCATCAGACAATTCTGTCAGTTCTGTTACTTAAAGGGTCAACTCTGTTTATGAACTATTTTCACAAAAAACAATAAATTTGTTGTTTAAAATCCTAATAAACATTATTGATTCATTTTTGCACCCTTATAATATTTCAACAACTGATTGGTGTTCAGTTTTGTAAGTAAGTGTTTTCAGGTGTGTGTCAACGTCTTTTCAATTAACCAATGTGTGTTGTATTTTGAATAGATGTGTTTTCCCAATGGTACCCTGAGATTTCATTTTTGAACTAAGTGTCTTATGTATGAAATAGTGTGTAGTGTCTAGGAGCAAGTGTGTTGCAGAAAGGAGCAAGTGTGTTACAGAATTGCAACTAAAGTGCAAAGCAGCGCTTTTGTTTAAGGTATGGTTACACTTTGTTTAAGGTATAGTAACAACAACTTCAAGTTATGTTACTTTGGTTTAAGCATGTGTCTATAGTGTTCAAGCAACTGGCAAAAACTGTAATAATATGAAAGAAGAATAATTTCTGCACAATATTCACCGCATACAGTAGGTGGCGCTGTCGCCGTGACGTCTCACGCCGACGCGATGCGTGCGCGCGCTACCAGCTAGCGTGCGCGTCCCCGTGTTCAGTCCGTCAGTGGAAATGGCGAGTTCGAGCTCGAGCGAGAGGCTAGTTATTCTCCGGGACGCGGAGAGCTGCAGGTCCGAGCTCATCCACAGCGTGGGTAAGAGCAGCACACTCTGCGCTACAGCTCTGTGGAGCTTCTTCCTGGTCTGTTCACCATAGTTTCATAGAAACGTGAGCACTAATTCCTGCAGTTAGCATGCTAATGGCTAACCGTCAGGATCGGACAAACCCGCTCATGTTTGCTTTTATTCCTCGAGGAATCGTTACAAGCCGTGCTGCATTCGCTCTAAATCTCGGCAACATGTCGTAATTCCTATAGAGTTACTTTGTGTATTGTAGGCCTGTCGCAATAATCAATATATCGACTTATCGCGCAATATATGTACATGACCTCAATCATTTTTGGTGACGCGATATATAGCCCATTATATTTAGATAAGAATTAATGTCTGCATGTTTTTTTGCATTCCACTTGCGCCGGTGTCTTCTGCAGCTTCTCGAACATAACGCTGTGCAGTCGTGAGCTGCTCGTTCACATTTAAATAATGCTAATACAAACAGTTTCTTCTGCAGATATGGCCTTGTTTAGGGATCTGTGTCTCATCTGACTGCTGAGTAGTGATTGTGTTTTTCAGCAATAGTGTGCACTTAATGCACAGAGAAAAGAAGGTCCGGGAAAAATCTCCAGACAAGTTCTTTGTGCACTTTTCTTTTTTCTACTTGTTACTTTGCACTTTTTGTTAGAAAATGTTTATTTACTAGTTATTCAAGTTTTTTAAGGTATCTTAATATTTAAGATATCTGTAATAAAATATTAAGGGATCTATAATATTTTGATACTTGATTTCCATGATCTAAATATGCTTACGAATTAAAAGTTTGTTGTCATTTGGAAGTGCCTTCATGCATTATTATGCTTTTATATTATGATTATATATTCAGTGGCATGAAATGGTCTTAAAATGACAATATTGTTTATCGCAATTATTTCTGGGGCAATATATCGCACAACAAAAAGTTGTTATCGTGACAGGCCTAGTGTATTGTGTGTGTGGTCTGTCTGAATGTTGTTTTTAATGTGTGTTCACATGCAGTTCAGTGCAAGCGTGACTGACAGATGAGGACTGATGTCTGCAGTCAGCCGTCTAGTTGAGTGTCTTTCTTCAGACATGTTTAGTTGGCGACAGAAGGGCGAATGAAGGTCATCTGAGGCATCTGTAAGGACCTGTGATGTCATGAGTTTAAAGACATCTTCTAAACGTCTATTTGACATCTGAAATGCGTCTTGCAGACGTACCTGTGCTATCTGGGATCATGCTTTAATTTAATTTATGCATTTAGCAGATGCTTTTATCCAAAGTGACTTAGTGCATTCAGGCTATACATTTTTTACCGGTATGTGTGTTCCCTGGGAATCGAACCCACGACCTTTTGCACTGCTAACGCAATGCTCTACCACTGAGCCACAGGAACACTTAAACACACTTTAATGCCGGTCAGGCCTCTTTCACCAAGTGTGACCACAAACAGACTGGCAGCTGCTGCTACTGGCGGGTCACATGACCTGCCACCGACAAATGTCAGGCAGATCCGCACTCCGTTCTCTTAAGAGGAACTATCATGATCTCTCATGAATCGCTATTGTTCATGTGGAGTTCCTATTGGTTCATTTCTCCTTCGATTTATTGCCAACGGCTGCTTATGGTTGGCAAACAAATGCCATACGCTGTTGAAATCATGATGAAATGGAAGTAGCGACAGATCTTTTCTTGTATGTTGTGACACACATCCAGGTGTAACAGATTATCTTAAAAGAAAAAAGTTATGCTTATTTTACAGTGTAATTGTGCTTTTAAGTACTCGGTAATATAAGTTGATTAGGGCTGCACGATTATGACAAAAATCATAATTGTCGATTATTCCCTTGAAATTGTAATTGCGATTATTAATTATGATTATCACAATTTACATTGAATGATGTTTATACCATTGTTTGATGCAACTGCATGCCGTATTTTTATATGAAAATAAACAAGCTGAAAACACTCTAACTGAAAAACCTTTAGTGCTTTTCTATAGTATTAAGCCTCAAATGTCAAATATACATCGGATTGGTTTCTTTAAATTATAAAAAAAGTAAAAATATGAATGGTATTATAATGTTATACTAAAACTAAAACAATGGAAAAACCCTGAAGATAACATGTAGAAAGAAAAAAACATCTTGGGCTATGTTCACACTTGGCGTCTTTTTTGAAGCTGCCAGCGTCTGTTTTACATTATAATCCTACGGAGTAAACCGTGTTTTCAAAAAAGTCCTGAGCGCTTTTTAAAACGCCACCGCCGGCGTCTTTTTCTGCAGCTCAGAGCGTCTTTTCAAGTTGAAAAAAGTTACACTTTTCTGAAAAAACACCCTATGTCAAGCGCTTTTTGACAGCTGACCAATGACAAGCGAGTGGCGAGTCGTTTCCATAACTAAAACGACAAGAAAAATGGAAAAGATAGCCGGTAGATTAGTTCGTACTAGTTTCGGAGCACAAGGAGTTGTATGATATGAGCACAAAACTGTATCTAACTTAGTCTAAAATATGCCACAAACCGTGCATCATTCAACCGGAGCTCCTGGACTAAATTGTTGTAAGCACCATACTGTTTCCTTCCCCGTATAATGTCGCGCACCCACAAACATCGTTGTGAACCGACATTCTCCTCCCCGTTAACTTCAAAAGGCAACGCAAAAGCCAACTTTTTACTCTTTCTCAACTTTTCTCAACATTTCTGCAGCATATAGCGCTAGGCTACTGTTGCAGATGTTGTTATAGCAACAAAAGACGCCCTCGGCTGCTATTTGTAACCAATAATGCTGCCAGCTTTTTATTTTAATAAAAAAGCGCTCTTGTCAACTTTTTCTTGTCAAAAAAGACGGCAAGTGTGAACGCTCTTAAGCGTGCAGAATAACATAAGTGGACTTTGAACTAGGGGTCGACCGATTATCGGCACCGATATTAAGCCTTTTTATGATTATCCGCATCGGTCATTTTCAAAACCGATTCGCCGATAAAATAACTTAATTTTGAAATGCGCTATTTGGCTCTGATGCAGCCTGTCAGAACTCACCACTCTGTGGCCTAAAGCAGTCTCCGCCACAGACCCATCTGATTTGTTGGGAGTAGGGATATGCCGGTATCAAATTCTCATGTTGCGATTAATTGCTAATGCTTTTGTCACGGTATACGGTATTATCATGATATTGAAATTTAGTTTAAAAAAAAAGTGCTGTCATAATATAGTATAACAGGTTTAATAACATTTTTCTTATAACAAAAATAACTGAACATTTAAATGCAATAAAGCAATACAGAAAAATGTATAAAGTTAAAAGTTTTACACAGATTAAAGTGCAAAAGAACTATAAAGACCAATAGGTATCACTTTACAATAAGACCTCATTAGTTAACCTTAGTTAATGCATTAACATTCACAATGAGCAATAGCTACATTTGCTACAGAAGTTATTAATCTTTGTTTAAAAAATACAAGTCTTAGTTCATATTAGCTCATTAAATAACACAGTTGTTATTAAATATTGTAATTACCTAAGATTAATGAATGTTCAGAAGAATTTTTCATTGGCAGTTTATATTAACTAATGAATTAACTAATGTTAACTAATGAAGCCCTAATGTAAAGTATGACCGAACAATAAAGAATCAAAACACTTTCAAACAATATCTAGGGCATGTTGTAGTCCAGATTAAAATGTAAAACATC